GGCGGTCCTGGCGGTCCTGGCTGTCCTCTTGGTGATGACACATTGTTGGTGAGGCAGAGACTTCAATTCAACTTGAACGTCGCTTTGTCCCATTGAGAAGTAAGAGCCAAACCTGGTTCGAGAAAAGTCAGATCGAAGCACATTTTTACGTATTATTATGTTGTCATTTTAGAAATCGCATCGCTCGCCATCGCTCGTCGTAGGATCCATTTTCAAAGCAGTTTAAGTAATGCGACATCTGATCTATGTTTTCTAAATTGTTTTAAATATTTGTTACTCCCCTCCCTCCCAAAAAAAAACACGTAACATAATTTAGACTATTTAGAAAGTGCATTTCCGACCCTACCTGTCAGGTCAACCCGGGCTGAGAGGAGCACCCTCTCCAGCAAAAAGACTGAGAAACGCTTTAAGAATGTCTCCCCACTCAGGAATCAAACTCGGGTCTCCTGCTCCTGAATGCGACTGCGAGTTGCATAACCGCAACACCATCGACACCAGTGCTGTCCATGAACTAGACTCCATTTTCAATGCGGTTTGATTAGGAAGCGCGACATCCGATCTATCATCAACTGTCACCAGGACAGAGCAGTCTGCAGAATCTCTATGAACAATCTCCACACTACGCAGTTTAATTTATTATAATAATAAAGATAATATTAATAATAATAATAATAAATAGCATGTGTAAAGCGCATAACCCCGCTCAACAGCAAGCTCTATGCGCTTTACACTATATATTATTACCCCAGCAGACCATAGAACACTCAGAAACATTCTCAGCTTTCCGGGAAGTATACAGTGCAAGCAGCTGATCAAGCGGAGGACAGGCATTGTACCCATGCAAAAACGCTTACCGACACACTGTTTTTAAAACACTTTTACAAGGGAAGAACAATACATTTGTTATTTATACAGATTTTTCAACTTTGTTTCCTTTATCTGAAATTTCTTTTTAAAGACAGACAACAGCATGCGTATTATGAAATAAGAAAATTCGTGTTTCTCATTGCTCTTCGTTTCTTCGAAATATACCGCAACATTGCCTGTGATCTGCTGCTGAATGGACATATTATATTATGTGTCTGCTATGTCCTTTAAAAAAATAAAGAATACACCTTTATAGCACCCAGCAGTAATGGGTACCTGACTTCCAGTTGGGGAAGTAAAGGCGGCGTGGAAAGGAATTGGCCACCCTACCACAATATGCCGAAGGCCCAGGAAGTTGTCTCACTTACAAGGCAATCCCCAATGTCCGGATCGGATGCGGGAACAACTTTACTTTACCCCTTTACAAGACATTTATTTTCGGCCATCAGTTCAGGTTTGCTAATCCTGGTTGCTAAATGGTGAAAGCAGAAAGATATGATACAATAACAATCATAGTAGGTATAACTGTCAAAAAAATGTAAGAATATTATTTTTTTCTCTCCTGAAATAAGTTACTTTCTTTGCTTAGAACAGCCGAATAGCTTGCCGAGGATATGAGGATCGCCCTAGTTGTAGTTCTTCATGGAACTCACTGACCACACGACGCGCCTTAACTTAGCCATGTAAGGCTGGAATTAAAAATAATCAGACGCTGACCTGGTGAGAAAAATTAGGTGATGTACATCGCAGGAGAAAAAAAGTAGCATAAAAAAACACATCAACGTTAGCCTAGGCCAGACTATTCTTCCATCTGGTCTTGCCGAAACTAATGGGATCGTTATGTCAGAATTAGATTATCCGTGTAAGACGAGCTGCAGCGATCCAGGATTAAAGACACGATGATGTCCGATGCCGCTTCCTGGCATACAACGCTGTCTGTGTCCATTAACTTTGAGCCAAGACAGAAAGGGTCGGTATATATAGGGGACATAACCGATTTTGCACCCAAAAATTATATCGGTTAATCAAATAGGGCCGTTAGTTTTCTTTCAGTTTTCCTCTACTTTATTTTTTTGGGGGGTGGGAGGGGGGTTCTTTTTTTTCTAAGGAGAAACATACGATTATAGGTCTTGCTTTACTACGGTCAATAAGTGCAAGGGAAAGTAAGACAAAAGGTATGTATCATGGATAACATTTGATCGGAACAAGGCGGAAGGGAGGGGGGGAGGGGGGAAGTGGGGTCAAGAAATGCCAGAGATATCCTGAACCAGGGGTTCCTCACCCCAACACTAGAGTATGATGAAATACTGTATTTCAGAAGTCTCTCTCTCTTTTTCTCTCTCTCTCTATCTCTCTCTTTCTCTCACTCTCACTCTCTCTCTCTTTTTCTATCTCTCTTCTTTTCTATCTATCTATCTATCTATCTATCTATCTATCTATCTATCTATCTATCTATCT